ACATCGTGATCTCAAAGCAAGTAATATTTTGTTAGACAAAGATATGAACCCTAAAATTTCAGATTTTGGCATGGCTAGAATATTTGGAGTTGACCAAATTGAAGGAAGCACTAACATAATTGTTGGAACATAGTAAGTGTTGGTTTTTCTAAATAAAAACTTTTTTTTTGTGAATCGATTCGTTATAGTATAGAAAAATGTTAATTATTGTGATTTATTGTTCTTTTGTTAGCGGCTATATGTCCCCGGAGTATGCAATGCATGGTCAATTCTCAGTGAAATCAGATGTTTTTAGTTTTGGTGTGCTTCTTTTGGAGATAATAAGTGGAAAAAAAAGAAATAATAAAGAAGATAAATTTGATGACCTTCTTATCCATGTAAGTGCAAGTTAATTTAATTAACAATATACAATATAGTTATCCTAATTAATTAGCATGATTATAATTAATTATGTTGATATTTATAGGCATGGAGGTTGTGGAAAGATGGTAGAGCAATGGAAATTGTTGATCCAACTCTTATTGGTGACTCAAATTCAATGTCGAAAATCATGAGATGTATACATATTGGATTGTTATGTGTTCAAATTGATTTGGATGGAAGACCTACAACTACTTTGATATCTCATATTCTCGATACTAATTCTGCTATTCTACCAGAGCCAAATCAACCAGCGTCTTTTAAGGATTATTCTAGATTAAGAAATATCGATCAACTCACAAGTAATTCCATTCTGTCATCTAGTTTTGAGGAATTAATTACGGAAATCTACCCAAGATAGTATTGTATACCAAAGGTCACCACATATATATAGAGACTTAATTAGATTGTCACAAAAAGTATTTCTTGTAGTTATAAAAAAATATACTTTTCGATGTGTTTTATTTAATTCTTCTGTTGGATTTATGTTTTCTACAGACAATAATAAGATATCAGTGTATCAAGTTGTCATGTTTAATAGTTCTAGCTATCTTATTTAAACTAAAGATTATTTGATAATTTTAGCAAACAAATAATGTAATATTAGTTAGTTATAACGTAAGAATGAACAAATTGATTCGTTCGATTAAATTAAAGCATTATATGTCTATCATGATTAGAAATCGGATCGTGACAAAAATATTATGACAATATATCAAATGAAAACATACATAAATCCAAATTGAAAAGCAATCTCTTATCAATATGCAATAGGAATATTATTTTTTTTGTTACAAAAGACTTTCTATGGTGATTTAAGAGTCGAGAATAGTCTATACACGTGGTGATCATGGATATACTACCTCGGGTAAATTTCAGTGTTTGAATATTTGAAAACCAACAATGAAATGTTCGTGAGTTCATTCATATTTTCTTTTTTAGAATAACCCTTAAAAGATGTTGGTCGACTTTGTTGGGTATGAATTGTACTGAGTTTCTTACCATAAATAGGTTTTCCTTTTAAGAAAAGGTTTAAGAGTGGCTAGTCCTTTTCTTGTAGGAAAAATGTTTAGGACTCTATAAATGGAGGTTTGTTCCTTTTAACTTAATTGATCAGCATTCACTAAGTAGTCCTAAGGGTTTGAGAATTTTGATTAGGGAGAGAATTTGTGGGACACAAGTGATATGTTAACCTACAATTAAGAAAAGTTGACAAAAATAAACAACCATCAATATTATTTTTTTTACATAACGTATAACATACAATTTTGATACATAGTAGTATATTTTTTTTTATATATGGCTAGAGAATATAATTATTTTTGTCAACCGATCAAATATATACCTCATAAGGGTTGGGGACCCAACATGTGCGTTAGGAATTTTTTTAAGCCCTTTACTATTTTTTATATATAATTTAAATTCATCGTTGACAGGCAATTCTTAATTAAGTTTAAAAATCAGTGATTGACAAAGCACCCTAGCTCTTAGAAACTTCCTTATTGCCTTGTGTCCATAACACCGGCCAATAATTTGCACCTAGGACTCTCCCTTTTTTTCTCGAACTAGTGTCACCATCAATTACTATTTAAATTTTGACCTCGTTTAAAAAACTTCTTAAAATATTTTGGGTATTTAGCGAGTTGGGGGAGCAGTATGTGAAGTCTCATCATATTTTGTACATATTTTGGGTATTTAGGAGTCATTTTATTGAAATTAGGTTATTTTCTCAGTTTTTCGCGTGTGTTAATCCATAAATATTTTGGTGATATAGCTTTTAGACGATTTTTTTTGCAAAATCTTTATGGAACCCTCTATAGGGAGTTGGGGTAGCAGAGCGTGAAACCTCACCTTTTTTGCACATATTTTTGGCATTTAGTAGCCATATTTACAGGAATTGAGCGATTTTCTCAATTTTTCGTGTGTTAGTCCATGAATATTTTGATGATATGGCTTCATGATGATTTTTTTGTAAAACCTTTATGGAACCCTCCACAGGGAGTTGGGGAAACAGTACGTGAAGCCTCATCATTTTTTGTACATATTTTGGGCATTTAGGAGACATTTTACAGGAATTAGGCGATTTTCTCAGTTTTTCATGTGTGTTAACCCATGAATATTTTGGTGATGTCTTCTGGACAATTTTTTTTTTGCAAACTTTTTACGGAACCCTCTGTAAAGAGTTGGGGTAGCAGGATGTGAAGCCTCGCCATCTTTTTGCACATATTTTTGGCATTTAGTAGCCATTTTACAGGAATTATGCGATTTTCTCAATTTTTCGTGTGTGTTATTCCACGAATGTTTTGGTGATGATTTTTTTTTTTTGCAAAACCTTGCAGAACCCTTTGTAGGGAGATGGGGAGCATTCCGTGAAGCCTCACTATTTATTACACGTATTTTGGGCATTCAAGAGCCATTTATAGAAATTAGGTGATTTCTCAGTTTTTTGTATTTGTTAGGTCATGAATATTTTTGTGATATGACTTACGGACGATTTTTTGCAAAATATCTACAGAATTCTCCATAGAGAATTGAGGGAGTAGAATGTGAAACCTCACCATTTTTTGCACATATTTGAGTATTAATAATTCTTTATCAAAGTGAAGGATAAATAACATACGTAAAAAAAAGAAGTTTAGGGATGATAGAATCCTTGCATAGTATAGGGTTGTATATAATATGAAAAAAATGAATTCTAAAGTAAAACTCTCGCATAATTTAAATTTGTAATTGACTAATTAATTAAAACGAAAGGTATATATTGCATCTTGAAATATATAGTGATTGGATAATGTGAAAAGGGAAGTGCTAGCTAGCTAGAAATTTGTGTCCCAAAAGCCTCTTTTAGAAATGTACAACATTTTATGCCTATGTTAAGTGGTAAACGAACATTTAGCATCCTAGTGGTTGTCAAGTATATTTTCAAGCCCGTTAAAAATAAAGGCATTTTAAAGTTAATACGTTGATGTCAGGTATTTTAAAGCCAAAAGGCCGATGAGAGGTATTTTAAAACTGAATTTGATAATTTAAGAATATTTTAGGCTTTTTTTCATACAAAATAAATTAATTTTAAAAATTTTGACCAAATAGACTATAAATAAATGAAAGGTTACTCAGGTGTAAGCATATATTTTTTTCCAGAGAACTAAAGAGTGCACCTTATGCCTTTTCCCTAGCAAATGAGTATACTACTTACTACTTAGCAGTATCAATGTGATAATTGCTCTTATTGAAAATCACCCAAATTTATTTGTTTAATTATAGTATTCTAAACTGTCTTAATCACCAAACTATCATTGATGAATACTAGGAAAAAAAACTGTATTTTTCATGATAAGTAGTTTCAATTAATTGTCATAATTTGATTTTGATTAAGAGTACTTTTGGATTGGTAAATATTTATTTGTATTTGTTGTTCACTTTAAATCGTGTAAATATACCAAGTTTTAGATTATTTTCTTTTCTAATTTCCCGAAGAAAGCACTTCTCTATCTCAAAATACTTGTCGTTTTAACTTTTAACTAAGTCATTTTTCATACCTTGCTGGATCATGTGATATATACAAATATGTATCCCTTAAATTTTCATGTTCATAAATTTATGTGAGGGCTCATGCTCATAAGTTTGTAGTTCTAGTATCATAATTTGCAATCATTATGTCATTGTTCATAATCAATAATAACATGTCATAGTGTTATAATATTTATATTCTTAAGTAGGTTTCATGGTTCAAAATCATAAGGTTCTTATCATGTTGTTTGCAATTTCATAGAAGTTTGTGAGAAGGAATTAACTAGCTGAAACATTACGGTTATACAATATCATATTATATTATTTTAATGAATATAATATTTGAATTGAACATATCATTTCTTATTATTACATATATAATGTTACATATTAATAATTTGAAATATAAACTTACAAGCAAAATAGAGTACGAGATAAAGCTATTATAAAAAGGTAGGATAAAATAATAAGATTATCAAATAATAAGTAAAAAAATGAGAAGAAGAAAAAAGTAACGATACAATTATCATATTAAATCGGTCATTATACAAAACTAGACTTTCAATAGTTATTCAACGCTGAATTTAATGATACGATACATTAAAATTTTAAATTACAAATTAACATAAATATTGTATTCAAACTAATAACTCAGCACATAACAATAATCATTTAAACAAGTTGTCAAAAAACGTGTAAATGAGAAATACGACAAATATTTTAAAGCTGCTAAGAAACGTGTAATTGAGAAACACGACAAATATATGAAACAGAAGAAGTGCCACCTCTCAATCTCTCTCCACCTGAAGTCCCTATAAAAGGGCACTATTACTCTTCACAGTCTTTCATTACATTCTTATTTATTTCCATTTTTTCCCTTTTATTTCTATTAAAAATTCATCATTTTGATTTGAAAATTTTCCCCTTTATACCATGAAATTTACATTCATTTCTCTTTATTTGCATTGTCTTTTTTAAACTAGAAGATTTTACTTACATTAAATACATTTATATTCATAAGGGGGCTTATTTTTTAGTATATAAAGATACAATCTTTTAAGGCATTTTCAATGGCACCAACTATGGATTTTGTAATTTCTGGCCTTTTTTGTGCTGAATATAACAAAAGCATGCTTGAAAATGTGTATGATGATATGCATACATTGTTTCATGGGGATCATCAAAACAATCAGCAAACTATTCCATTTCAGAGTGATGATTGTGTGGCTTTGATGATTAAAAAAGAATGTGAATATATGTGTTGTGATGATTATCTTGAAAAGTTGAAAAATGGGGAATTTGATTTGGGGGAAAGAGAGCAAATTCTTGATTGGATTTGCCAGGTTGGTTGGATATAATTTAGATTCTTGATGTGATTAGTGGAAATTTTCTTGATTAGTACTTGTTAATCAATTTAATGTTAAGTAGATTTCACTTTAAAGTTTGATGGATTGTGATTAGTTCGAGGCGGAACCTGGATTTTTAGTTTATGAATTTTAAATCACAAATCTTTTTTGTTTATGGAGTTTTGTCGAATCTGTTAACTTTAAGACTGGCTTCGCCCGTGCGAATAATGAATCAACTTTTCAAATTACCGGGTACTTCTATTGATATAGTCAGAGGTGGAACCTGAATTTTTATTTTATGAATTTTGAATCACAAATTATTTTTGTTGACTGAGTTTTGTTGAACTCGATAACTTAGGCTGGCTCCGTTCATGTGAATAGTGAATCAACTTTTTCGATTACAAGGTACTTTCATGGATATAATCATAGGCAGAATCTGAATTTTTATTTTATGAATTTTAAATCATAAATAATTTTTGTTTATTGAATTTTGTCGAACTCGATTAATTTTAGGTTGGTTCCATCTGTGTGAATAGTGAATCAACTTTTTCAATTACACGTTACTTTCATGGATAGGCAGAGTCAGAACTTTTTGTTTACTAGTACTGAATCACAAACATTTTCATTTATTGGTTCTTGCGAACTCATAACTTTAAGGCTAGCTCCGCCCTGTAAATAGTAGATCTAACTTTAAATTACAAGGTAACCTTATTTCTTGTTTCAAAAAGGGATGTTGTGTATTGTTGTGTGTGTGGTGGGGGGTAAAGG